GAGCCTCGCCGCGCTCCCGTCTCCCGCCTGCTCGGCGAGGTGCGGGCCGTTTATTCGATCGTCCTCACAAATAGCCACAAAACGGCCACCTTTACATCGTGGGTACATGGGGGTCGGGCAGGAGTGTGAGGGGTTTCTCGGTGTCCACGGCGGGCCGGAGGCGGAGGGCGCACAAGTTGGCGCCGATCCGAGCAACGCGGAGACGTCGCATCACTTCACCTTTCGAGTAGGAAGAAGATGGGTTTCTTCCTCACGAGAAGGGAACAACACTTTATTCTTATTTTTCTGGTTGGCTGTTTACGTTCTGTGATGAAAAACACTCAAGGTGTAGAGTGGTTAGTATAATGAATACCGAAAGCCTGGCGTCTGTATTTACTAATTTGCATTTTGCCTTATTTACCTCATTTACTGCTGAAGCGTTTTAAAGTTAGATGAGTTGATGGCAAGTAGTATGTCGTCTTTAAAAGGACACTTTCCTACATTACCATCCCATTTTTCACACCTAAACTAACAATAATTGGCTATCCAGGCTCAAATTTCTCCAGATGACCCCTGACCTATCAAACGGGGGCTCACTCCGTGGACGGACAGGCAGTGTATTTGATTTCTCCCCGTTGCTTTACAAGAGCCGTTCCTTCTCCCCTCCCCCTGTTTGTGGAATGGCATTGTCCCCTTGAAGAACTGAGCTGCCTTCTGGGTCTGGCTTGTGCTTCTGTGGTGTCTTCAACATATTTCTCCTTCCTCTGTACTTCCTGTCCCCTGGAAGTTAGAGCTAAAGACCGGGTTGGAATCCAATTATTCTTCTGAATAAAAACCATCTGGGTTGGGTGATGAGTTTTGTTTATTTGGTATGGCTATTTTTGTTCATCTCCTTTTTTTTTCTTTTTTTCTTTTTCATTGGCCCTGTCTGTAATCAGTGGATCTGTTTGAAAGAGTTGGCAAGGATCAGGAATACAGTTGTTTCTGCTGAAGTGGGAAGACACAGACCCAACCATCTCTGCCTCTTGCCTAACGCTCCAGTCAGGCCAAACTCACAGAGAGGATGGAATAAGAACAAAATAAAAGCCAATAGGAAACAGGAAGATCAATCTTTAGCCAAGGGAAGGGAACCAAGAGATAGCAGAGGAAGGAAAGGGGATGAAAAAGAACCAAGATGTGTTGTGTGTGTGGACTAGCTCCCCGTGAGGAATGGGATCACGTACTGCAAACATGTACCAGCAAAAATTTTAAAAATAAAAAAGAAACTGGGAGAATTCTTTTTGGCTATCCAAGAACTGCTGTTAAGTATTGAAGAATACCTTGTACATATAAAGGGCTAGATGTTCTAAGTAATTTTAAAAAGTTTTAAAGTCTAGGCAGACACTGAATCCTTCACATTCTCAGTCAGCTAGAAGGGAACACTGCAAGCTTCGTAACGATTGCCATTTCACCTTCAGGACAGCTGCCCAGGATGTGAAGTAGCGCACAGGTTTGGAAATCTGAATGTCTTCGGTTACCAAGTTACCAGAATCTCTGAACTGCAATTTCCTCATCTGAAAAGTTTGGAGAGAATAATTATTTTAAAGGATTTTTGTGAGAATTAAGTTAACCCAGATGTAAAAGCCCAGGGCATTGCTTATCATGGAGTAGATAATAAATGATGGTTATCTCCCTTAGGTCTCCCTCTGTCTCAGTGGTAGCACATCAAATAAATATTTCCTTAAAAATGGAGATTTCATGTATTTATTCAACCACTTAAATGGAAAGGCTGTAAGATATTGCAGATTCTAGTTAAGTAAACTCAGGCACTAGCCATTGCTCAGGCTCTGTAATGCTGCAAATTTGCAACTCAGAAACTCAAAGGTAATTCTTTACCTTCTATCAGTCACTGGGGTACTTTATCCTTCTGGGAAGATTTCTACAGGTCTACAGAGAAAGACTCCTGCCTTACGAGTTTAAAATAAGATTCACAATAATATAATTCTATCATCCAAAAAAAGTTGAAGTACCTTTCAGTGGTACACAAAGCAGTACAGATACCATATTTTTCATGCCTTAGCAATGAAATGAACTGTTTGGAGAAAGGGGCACAATCTCTCTGGAAGGTCTTCTGGCAATACTAAACATCAAGTGTGTTTCAAAGGCCCATGCTCTCTCTCAGCAATTCCATTTCTGGGAATTCATGCTAAAGGCTATGGACAAAGATACATGCACAGATAGCATCTGTGATAGAGATACCCCATCCAAACCTCCTTTCTTAGGAAAAGCTGCAGCCCACCACTGGGGTCTGTGGTCAATGGATGCTTCCAGCTGTCAGCCCCCTCCCCGAGTGCAGGTCTCACTGCGGAAGGCAGCCTTACCTGGGGTCATCCCCTATGGAGCATCTGTCTTCTTCATAGTTAGCAACTTGCAGTTTAGAAGCCCAGCTTTTTCAATTCAGTGAGGGCCAGGCCTTCTCAGCAGATCCTGGAGTCTGTTTGGGCTTCTATTGGGCTTCTTCCTTGCTCATCCCTGTTCCTTCCCTCTTCCATATACAGAGGGAGATCCTCACTGTCTTGTATCTCAAACACAATTTGCATTAGCTTTTGGAGAACTCAAAATCTGATGCTATCAAACATGATTCCTTAACAGTGAGAATCCCAGGGACTGGGGATTTAGCTCAGCGGCAAAAGCGCCTGCCTGGCAAGCGCAAGGTCGTGAGTTTGGTTCCCGGTACCAGAGAAAAACCAAAAACCAAAAAAAAAAAAAAAAAAAAAAAGAGAATCCCAAAATGAGACATAACTCAGAACAAAGAACTGACAGTAGCAGAGTAAAAAGTATCACTGACTATTGCAGCTAATAAGAATTTCTTTATAGCAGGGCATCTCAACAGAAGTTGGATTGACAGTTTGGGTTTGGTAATTCTTTGTTATGGGAGATTATCCTCTTCACTGTAAGATTTTCAGCAGCATCTATAGCCTTCCACTAGATGCCAGTAACATCCTTGTAGATGTGATAACCAAAAATATCCTCAGACATTGCCTAACATCTTCTGGGGGACCAAATCACTCCATAATGAGGATTGTTATTCAAAAGGAGAGACTGACTTTCTTAGGAAATGCTTTGGTACAGTGGAATTGTGCCTTAGGCCCAAGTTCCTTGCAACAAAGGACTTGGGTAGGGTGGAGAGAAATCTGGGTGAATTGGAAGAACAAGGGTGCTCTGTAGTATAAATGAGGAAGGGTAGGGACTGAGTGATGCCTGGGGCAAAGATTTTAAGAGAGAGGGAATCTTCTGGCTGGAAAAATTGAAAGAAGAGACATGTAAAGTGGAAATGAGCCTAATAAAAGTATTGAATTTGTGCACTGTGCATATTACTCAAAAAGTGTCTGTGCTTATGGAGCCACAGAAACCTAACATCTGGATTACATGTGGTATGAGTCAGTAGTAGCTTAGTGGAGGAACAGATTTAATACAAGATATACACATATATAAGGATTTACAAGGTAGGCCTACAATGGCCGCCCTCAAGAGTCAGGTGTGGAAGAGTGCAAAAGGTCTGTCCGCACACTGGGGATCCAGAGGATCCTGTCGAAGGCCCAGAGCTCCATGTAGTGTCCAGTGCGAGTCTATCAGGAAGCCAAAGGGTCTGCAATGGAAGACTGAAGGGTCTGCACTGGAAGCCAGGAGACATCCAAGGTGAGAACAGACTGGAGCTCCTCAAAGAAGACAGAAGCAATCCTTCCTTTTTCATTTCCCTGTTATGACATTCTGGCACTAATCCTCCCTAGAGTGGGTCTTCCACACCCAGAACTATGCTGTGCCAATTTAGTTGGCCATTACTCAGGTTGACACAATCAACCATCACACATGTATACATTTTGTGCTTTCATAAGAGCTTAATTAAGGAGGAAGAATCACTCCTAGAAGTAGATAAAGCATATAAAACATAATTATAATTATATTTATCCCATCCCTATCCGATGTCTACCACAAAAATACATCCTTCTGTGTTAATAATGAGAGGATTATGATTGTTGTCAGTACTTATATAATGTTATTCAGGCAGGTAGGTTCAATTCTGTATTTGAACATGGACAGGAAAAAGCCAAAATGTGACATATAATGATTAAAAAAAGAACATAACAGGGGAAATGTGGATTGTAAGAAAGCAAAGAACAAACAAAAAACCCACCAAAGTGAGTACCATATTATGTCACTCTCCAAAGGCTGACAAAACGAGAGGAATTTTTCATTACAGTCTTAAGACAATGAGTACTTTGCCCAATGGACAAGGGCAGGGGTCCTAAATCTGTCTTCTGAAGCAGCTAGATGGTTAGCTGAGAAGGGAGAGATGAGATGAAAAGAGCTTGCTTCTTATCGACCTTCCCCCTGGATTCACAGACATCTCATTAAGAGATCAACTGAGATGGTGACTTTCAAAACATGGAACCAACCCCATAATTTGAGGAGCAGTTGGTTATTTTCTTCCTACACTAAAAATCTTAAAAGGATTTTTTTTTCTTTTCATTCCTTTCTTCTTCTTCTTCTTCTTCTTTTTCTTTTTTTTAATACATGGAGTGGTCTCCCATCATTAAACTCAAATGATTTAACATAAATCTCAGGCATTTTCCCCCTGTGGTCCCTCATTCTAGCTAGAATTGTGAAAACCGCATTATAATTCCCTAAGTGATAGCAGTGAGATCAAAAGGACTTACCCTAGAATTAGGTTTGAAATAAACTATTGGGGTTTTGGAAAAAAAGGAAGGAAAGAATGTGTGTTTACTAAATTTCTCTTCCTGAAGTCCAGTGAAATAAATAAAGTCTGCATTTTCTGTAAAAAAATTCTTTAGTAAGGATAATCAAAGATAAAAGCTAGTCAGGTCCAATTTTGCCTAAAACATTTATTTTTTTCCTTGTGTTTCTCTGTTTTGGTGGTGAATCTCTACCCAATTTCTCATTAACTTCATCTGATGAAAGAAATTACTATTGGCTCAAATTGTTATGTGAAAAAGACAAGGAAAGTACTTGGGCATGGTTTACATGGTGTTTGTAATACTTTAGAATTATAATAGCAATTCTTGTTTATATTCTGAAATTGGAGCCAAAGAAGAAATAGCCTGTCCATAATAGGAAATTTATAAAAGCTCAAACTACAGTTTTTATAATAATTCTCTCTTGTCTATGAATACTATGGGGATATGGTAAATATTGTAGCTTCATAAAGGAAAAGATAGTGCTTTGGTCAATAATAATGTACACCTAAAATGTGCTAAAAGGGAAGATATCCTATTCACTATAATAAAATTTTTAAGATAGAAAAATGTAAGGAAAGCACTAAAGACTACAGAACTAACTGGTATCCAAGACCAGAAACTCAAGTTTTACCCTGGTTTTTCTGCTATTAATCTGAACCTCCATGGTATGATCACTGATCACAGTGATCTGAAGCAAACCTGACTCTCAGCTCTAGACAGTATGAGGAAACTGTACAAATGTCCGTAAACTGAAGTTCCTGGTTGTTGTTCAGAGTTCCAGCATGACTACAAAATTTCAGGTTCTAGAAGACAGATCTGGTACTCCTTGGTTAATTCACAACTGCTATAAATGTCCTTGGTCATTATAGACAAAAACAAACCAATCAGGCCAAACTAGTCCAGGCCTATGCAGTTAAGCTAAACAAAAAAACCCCTGGCCCCAAGGCTTTCTCCCAACAGACTGAAAAGACATCTGCCTATGCTCCATTTCTGCTACTAAGACAATCAATTGGAGAGGAAGCCCTGCCTAAAACTTTGATATGGAATTAGGACTAGACACAGGCACGCACGCACACACACTGATGAATTTTCTCACAGTTAAAGGTAAGAATTAGGGCTCTATTACTCTATTATTTGATGAAGTAGTCCTCCAGTGGCCTCCATTTATTTTTATAGAATAGATCTCTGAGCATGGTCTAGAATCAGAAGAATATGAGAGAAGAGGCCCAAAACTATGCTGCGTTTATTGTAGACTTGAAATTATTGGCTAGATATGTTGGCTTTAGAGAAATGTTTGCCTCCCTTAATATGGATGTAGACTATCCAATCCTTTAGAACAGCTGTTTGATCACACAAGTATGTGATTTATCCAAATAGACTCAGAAGAGACCAAAAGAAACCAGGAAGAATAAGAAAAGCCATGTTTATTTCCTACAGATCCCAAAACCTCAACACAGACAGCACTTGTCATGCTGACAGAAGTCCCATGTTCTTTTTCTATAGATATTCCCCAGAGTCTCTCCCACTTCCTCTGCAGCTCAAAAAGTCTGAAATAAGGACTTCTGTGTGGATTTTCTGGCTAAGTGTGTCTAACACATTCTGGAGTGAAACCAGCTCCCTTAGGTAGTGAGCAGAAATTCTTAAAGCAAGATAGATATTGAATGAAACATATATGAAACGTGCTGTCTCCAACAAACAAAGTGGATCTTGATGTACAATGTAAAGGCTAGAAGCATACAGGCAAGTTAGACCTGCACAAAGGGTCTAATTTTTTTGCCTTAGATTCTAGAAATAATTGTATTTGTTGGACAGTGTTATAATCCAATTCCATTCTTCAGTGTGGATATCCCCACTAATGGTAGATAGATAGCTTTACCTTAGTGATAGCATGCCCAGCAAAAGACAAAGGACTACCTAGGAAAGATCATTGTCACAAGTGGGAAGATTGAAGCCAAAACTGTAAAATTTAGCAAAAGCAATTAAACCAAAGGCAGCTGAAGATATATGCTCTGAGGAATTCTTGAAGATACTGTAGGAACCCTTGGATCAAAGCATTCTCTTTGAAAAATTAAAAGAATCTACCTGCCAAAGGTCAGAGATGTGGAAATGCCCCAGAGAAACCTGCTTATCATCTGTGTTAAAAACTGACTTTATTCTTCTAGAAGTGGAATGGGCTGGAAGAGTGGCCATCACTTGACCTTTCAAAGTTTCATTCCTAAGTACTGCACATCATGGTCAGTCAGCTCTCTCAGTAATTATTATAATTAAATAAAAATAAACCTAAATTATTAATCTTCAACAGTCAAAGTTTTCATCATTTTTGAAAGACAAATTTAACTTGACAACAACTAAAACAAACTATCAATAAAAGCATGTCTTTCTGATTATGTTTACTAGAGATTAGAGAAAAACTCTGCCTTAATGGGAACTGTCCTTCCAGAACTTTTTTCAGTCCTTGAATTTATAACTGTTTAGAAAGTCAAACTGAAAAAAACAAACAAAAAAGCCCCTCAAAATCCCGGCACACAAAAAAAGGAAATTAACTAATCAACAAGTACTTAATGAGCAACAGCAAATACTGTATTTTTCTGAGCTCCTAAGGTCCTCTACTAGTTAGCAGAGATGCAAAGAAAACACTAGTCCTCCCCCACAAAATTAAACATAATTATGTATCCAATAAAATGCTAAGAATATTTTTGTTTACTTC